CTGCAGCCCCTGTGGCAGTGGGTTGCCATGGGCTACCGTGTGTAGCCAGCAGCCAGCGTGAGCGGCCGTCCAGAAGCCGGCGACTGATCTGCCTCACCCTGGAAGAGTACAATGATGGTCCCAACTTGGGCCAGTGAAGCAATGTCCTCCACAACTAGATTGAAGAACAAAAGGAAAGCAACTTGTCTGTTCCCCTTCCTGTAATTCCCCGGCACTGTTCCCATCCCCCCAATTCCCCAATTAAAAAAAAAATTAACACAAATTTTATACAATCTCTTCCAGAATAAACAATAGAATCAGGCCAGTATTAGGCTGATACCAAAACCAAACACAGTATCAAACAAATAAGCAAACAAATATAAATTAATATCCCTCATGAATATAAATGGAATGAAATTTCTTAACAAAATACTGGCAAATGTAATTCAAAAATATATTTCAAAATAAAATTTAACTGAGTAACTTTTAAAGATCTTATTGGTTTTATTCAATGATTCATGAAAAGGCAGCATCCAATCTAGCAGACAGGAGCTCTGAGGAGCTGTGCAAAATGAAAGATATTTAAAGGCAAGAGGGAGCAGGAAAAATCAAGTTATATTGCGGGAGACCAGCTCCCCCAGGTCCAGGGGTTCCCTCAGGTGGAGTCGGTGAGGAAAAAGGAAAAAACGTGCAGAGACACAGGAGCACCTTTTCAAGAAGAAGTGTCACACTTTATTTTACAGCATGCCCCTTTTTATACCGGGCAGTTTAACCATTGTTCCATTAGTATCAGGGTTTTACTTCCTCATAATTCTTATGCTCCAGGGTACAGCTATACCTTTTCTATGCTAAAGACTAACTTATCCCAACTATGCCCAAATCCCTCCACCTACAATGACTACAACCAAGGCCAGAGCCTCTACATAATCACCTAAAGGATGGTTACCATGACCACCCAATATTTATTCTAAAAACTATTGTCTAAACAGGATCTTAAGATTTACAGGGTGTGTACTTTTGACCTTTACTAAGAGACTAGTAGTGTGACTAAAATTGCTTTTAGTGTATAAAATATAATTATTGTGATATATCTATTAGAAGGGGAATTTACATTTTTTAAGATATAAAGCAGTATCTGTTTCTCAGTCAGTGCTTCAGAATTTGTCACAATTGCAGTGTGTTTGGCCATGTCATACACTGAGGTGCAGCCGGCTCCTGGCATTATATGAGGCAAAAAGGCAAATAGGTTATTGCAAGATTACTTTCCTTTAGGGCATAGCAGGGATCTATCAGGCAGGTTACCTAACTAGTGCTTATGAAGTGATTTCTTGTTGTCTGGTTTAAGATTCCATTTCTGAGATAGCTGAACCTATAGTTAAGTCTCAGTTTGGTGACATAGGGCTTAGCATAAGCAATATCATTTTGGACCTGTTATTTTGTTTTTAACAAATATATAAAAATAATTATACACAATGACCAACTGATGTTTATTCCAGGTCTGGAATAAATGAAATCAGTATAATTGATTAACATAATCCATTATATTAACAGGCTAAAGATAAGTATATCACATAATCATAGCAACTAATGCAGAAACGGCATTTGACAAAATTCAACACTCATTTACATTTTTTTAACTGTCAGGAATTAGAAATAGAGGTAAACTTCTAACTTTATAAGGTAGGGCTGAAAAACTATAGCTAACATCAAATTAAATAATGAAACACTGAATGCATTCCCCCTAAGTTTGGGAACAACACAAATATATCTGCTATCACCACTCTGTCTGATGCGGGCCAAGTGAGTAGCACCCTTACCCCCACCCCACTGGACAACTTTTAAATCTCCTCTTCCCTAGTTTCTTAGCCCCTGGCTTTGATTACTCCTCTAATCAGTTTCTGAATTCTAGACTAAAGATTGCCCCTAGACTGAATCACAGAATATCTCTCACCCACCCCAGCTTTAGATAACTACTTAAAACCTGTGACTTCCCAACATTCCCCAAGCCATTCCTAACTCTTGGATAATCCCAACCCAGAGACTAAATAGGTTTTAACATTTCTCCAGGCCAGTATACTTGTGAATTGTAAACACTAAAGTCTAAAATTCTCTCCAAACCGGTAGCCACCCTACATCAATAGCTTTGAGCTCTGCTTTTTAAGAAATTTATTAACTAAAATCTATTTTTTCTCATTTAGGGAACTTGGGGGGTACAGAGGATACACCAGCAAGATTGCCAGTCACAACCAAAGAAACCAACATAGTCTTCCAGGAGGATCTCGAGACCCCCTTCCTCTCAACTGAGATCAGATACGGTGAGAGTTCCATGAATCCCCCAATAGGCAGGGACAGCTCTATACTCCTGCCCAGCAGAAAGTAGATACAGAAGAAAAGACCTCCTGTCCCTCAACTTCCCATAAAGATTTTATGGGGATCACATCTCTCAAGGGAAAACAGGGCAGGCAGTTAGAGGCAGGCATTGGATCT